ACTCATAGAGATGTTGTGAGGATAAATGTGTTAAAGACTATGAAGTGCTTTGAAATCTAAGAACAAAATTCAGACACACTTAATACTACTAAAAACGCAGTCCTACATCCAACAATGGAAACTCAATAGCCCAAATGTGCTGTTGAGCTACATAAAGAATTGCAACCTCAGTGTTTTTTGGCACCCTCTTAGTCTCCCAAATCTGCTCCATCACCAGGTGGGATGGAATCAGCAGAACCATGTCCTCACTTCTGTAACCAGCACAGTTATTTTCATTTGACTGCTTTAAAACTGTCCTAGTTACTGTTTCTTGTAACTAAGCACTCTCAGTGACACAGCGAAGGTGTAGGAGGTGTTCACAAAAAGAGCTCTATTTTAGGAAGCTTGTTCACAATATGAAAATGTTCAAGAGCAGTCTGAATAACTTGTTTTACCTGTAAAATTTCCTGCCTGGTAAACCAAGAGGATCGATGAAAGCTCTTTCCACAAACATCAGCTGATCATTCATGATGCGCACAGCAAGTGGACTACAGGAGATAAAGAAAGAACCATTGCACGTGACAACAATGCACAAAAATGCATGAACCATATGGTTTCCTAATACAGCTGGCTGGGAATTTTTCAGTGTTGTTTTTGTAAGCAGAAAATGCTCATTAGGTGACAAATGTTTTTCAGGTGAAGTTTTTATCAAAACCAGAGGGAGACACCTCCAAACTTCAGAATAGGCAACGTCCTTGTGGTACGGACACTCACCTGGGATGTGGGAGTCCTGGGTTCAAATTTCTGTGCCAAATTAAGCAGAGCAGGGTCTTGAACAAGTTCTCTTGCCTCCCAGTTGAGTGTCCTGACTATGACACTATTGGTTTTTCATTGAAAAACTTCAAAAGGTCTCAGTTTCATCCTGATGCAGAACAATAAACATTTCTAAACTCTGAAAAATATTTCTGGGATAGACAAACCAGTGCCAGCCCTAATCTAGTTTACAAAGCACTAATCAAATAATAACTAGTTAACCTTCCCCATGCACTTGACTGGGCAAACAAGTATTATGATGTAAAAGAGGAAAATGACACCCAGGCATTGTATGTGTTGCCCAGTTGCCCGGTGCTAAGGAAAAAGATCGGTTCTAAACTGTTATTAGAATTCAAGAATTCTTGGATCATCACTATGTGCTCTACAGCGGAGACCAATGGAAAGCTAGTGTCTTCTTTCTTTGATGGGCTCTTTCTAGTACTGTTTAATAAAACACAGGTATCCATTGATCTTAAAAGGGTGGCCTCTCGATTTGTTGTTTATATAATGGAAAGTTTCCCCCAGTCTAATATGCAGTTTTTATTCTTCTAGTTTGTGTGAAGAGTAATCAGTCTGAAGCAGTGTTTTCTGGATTCAGCTGTCCTTGTTTGAAACACCATGGCTATGTCTAGACTACATCCCTTTTTCGTAAAAGGGATGTAAATTAGACGTATCGCAATTGCTAATGAAGCGGGAGAGATTTAAATCCCCACTTCCTTAATAATTGCAATACGTCTAATTTACATCCCTTTTACGAAAAAGGGATGTAGTCTAGACATAGCCATGGTGTTTCAAACAAGGACAGCTGAATCCAGAAAACACTGCTTCAGACTGATTACTCTTCATACAAACTAGAAGAATAAAAACTGCATATTAGACTGGGGGAAACTTTCCATTATATAAACAACAAATCGAGAGGCCACCCTTTTAAGATCAATGGATACCTGTGTTTTATTAAACAGTACTAGAAAGAGCCCATCAAAGAAAGAAGACACTAGCTTTCCATTGGTCTCCGCTCTTTTACGTGAAAAATGTGTTCATTGTATTATGTAAGATAGTCATTAAAATGATCACAAAGTTCATATGTTCTTTAGTCAGTGTGCCCAAGAAACAGAATGTGCTGAGGCTCAAATCCTGCAGCTCTCACTCAGGAAAACTCCTAGGGTAAATTTATACAGCACCATTATTTTGGAATAATTGATGTTATTTCGAAATAACAAAGTGCGTGTCTACACACAAGCAATTATTTCAACATAATTTTGAAATAATGTCCAGCCTTCTTACTCTGACTCCTATAACCCTCGTGAGGTCAGAGGAAGTGTGTTCTATTTCAAAATAAGTACTCTGCAGACATGCCCAAATTCAAAGTAAGCTATTTCAACTTAAGCTATGCAAGTAGCGTAGCTCAAGTTACATAGCTTATTTTGAGTTTAGCCCAGCCTTGTAGACGTACCCTCACAGATTTCTACGAGAATTTTTTCTGGTCGAGGCTTCATTCAAGATTGCAGGACTTTGTCCTCATCAAACAAAGTTGAGCAACATGGAAGTGAATTTGTCACAACTATTTTTTTATAACTTACTTATTCACATCAAGCTCTTTGAGTCTTCTGTGAAAATCTGCAGCAGTTTCTGTGAAATTCATCACAGCAGAAAATAGGGGACCTAGAAATAGAAAGACCTTTTTTACTTCAGCTTCACACCAAGAGCTTTGAACAAAACACATTTCACTTACTGAAGAAAAACATGTATTTTTCTTTTTATTTGCCAATGAGAAATCCTTGGCTTTCCCATTTCTTCTGGATCTGACTTTTAAAGGGCTGTAGTGCCCTCTCATGACATGGAAAACCTATTTTATCCATGCCAGCAGTGCTGAGGAAAAGTGTCTAGTAACATTTCTACAGCAAAGGAATGAAACGAGTATTTAATGTAAAAATGCTGAAACCATTTCTTGGGGAACCTTCTGCAAAGGGGAAGTTCTGAGATTGGGGTGGATGGAGGGGAGGAAAACCCTGTATCTGCATTTTTAATTTTACTGCAGAGATTATATGACGAAGTGTGACATGTATCAAATTTCCTGCCCTTCTGCCTACCTGTGGAATGAGTGCATGGTTTTCACCTTAGGTGATTCTCCCCACCCTTTACTTGTTTTATGTGAGCATTTTCTCCATCCACACTAAGACAAGCCTGGCTTAGTTTTTTTTACGAGGAGGATAAAAAGTTTTTTTACTAGGAGGGTGCTTCATCACCTTCTTAATTTTATTAGAAGGGTGGAGAAGCACTGGGAGAGGGGTCCGAAAAATGGGTGCCCCCACACCCTCACCTGGTCCACGTAGGGAGGTGGTGGAATCTCCATCCTTAGAGGTTTTAAGTCTCAGCTTCACAAAGTCTTGGCTCGGATGATTTAGTTAGGGTTGGTCCTGTTGTGGGCAGGCGGTTGGACTCGACCTCCTGAGGTCTCTCCCAATCCTATGATTCTAGTGAAATTCCAAGGGGGAAAACTTGCCCTGCCAAGGCGTAGAATGATGGTAAAGTCATTCTACAGATGCTACTCAACACCTGGATTGCCTCCCATTATGTGGGAGTCTAGGCCCATTGGATAATTGTAGTTGCAGAACACATACACATCCCCAAACTCCTCCTCACTTGTCCCTCAGCAACACATCCAAACCCTCTTAGCAGCTGCAGCAAAAATCCCAGAGGAGCAGAGCTTTGTGGCATACAGGGTAGCCACGCCCTTGGGCAGGCTCTCCCTATGCAGCTGCAGAACTGTATTGGTTCTACGGCAGCCAGCATGGACAGGCCTTTGATAACAGTGTCTATTTCATTTCTACAGCTAATTTTCTTAAACCTTGACAAAATGAATGGTTCTGGGTCATTGAGTAATAGGGGCCAATTTGCAAAAAGGGTAAACTTCAGAACCTTGCAAAAAATACAATTTCTCTAGGCAAATAGGAAGCATCTAGAGTACTTTGTGTTTAACCGTGTGTTTCAGAAAACCCTGGCTAATCCAGAGTTGGTCCCTCCCTATAAGGCCATCTCCTCTCTAACTTGAATCATCTCTCTAAGGTCAAGTCTCTATGCTTGGCTGCCTCTGTGCAATGAATGGGAGTTATGTATGGCAAGGAATGAATGGCAAGGACAGAGTTTAGCCATCAGTGACATTATAGCCACCATTTAGCAACAGATCATGTTTCACAAACAGGAGATGGCCAAAGAGGAAAAAGGTCTCCTGAAAATATACACGTATATTTATCACAAACAAATCCAGTGCGGCTAATTCTAGTTCTTTTTAAAAAAATCATATTTACAATATTTGTTTCTTTAAGATCCACTTTTTGGAAACATGGGACATGGTGCTGAGGCATGGTGGTCAGAGGCCAGGATGGGGATATGGTGCTGTCTATGGCCCACCTGTAGTTGGGGAAGCCCACGGCAGCAAAGCCATCCACAATGGTGTCCATGTTGCCCAGAGTGACAACCCTCTATAGCAGCACGTGGTTGCTTGCCTTCGCTATTTGTATGAGCACAGCCCTGTCTGGGGATTTCCCCATGCCAAACTGGTTCCCCACGGAATGGTAGCTGTGCAGCGTGGTGAGCTTCCAGAGGGGGATGGCCATGTGTTTTGGCATGGGGGTGAGGGGTCTCAGTCAGGTGTCCTGTCGCCTGAGGCCAGAGGAGAGCCACTCGCAGAGCTCCAGGAAGGTGGCCTTCCGCATGCAGAAGTTCTGGAGCCACTGCTGGTCATCCCATAGTTGCAGGATGATCAGGTCCCACCAGTCCGAACTGGTCTCGTGCCACCAGAGGTGGTGTTCCACCGTGTCCAGAGGATTGAGGGGCATGAATAGCAGCAGAGCGCCAGGACCTAGGTGATAAGGGCCTGCGGTCTGGGCTGTTCCCCATCCTACTGGAGCAGTATGTGGGCAGTGTGGAAATACTGCGCCGTGAAGTGCAGCACGAGCCTCTTGAGCCTGGCACTGCTTTGCAGCAGCTTTGGCTCCATGGTGTGAGAGCTGTGGCATCCACTAAGGCCACCAGAGTACACTGCATCCATTTGGTGTCCCATGAGGGGGGAGGCAGTGGAGGAGTGGAATGTGAGGTGTGGCCATAGACAGGAGCCCCTGAAAGCACACACCACAGCTTGCCTGAGCAGCCTCAGGAAATCTCTGCCTTCCTGGTGTCCTCCCTTGAGTGCTTCCAGGGGCTCTAAGTCCCAGGCAGGCTCCAATCAGTGTGGACATGCTATTTCAAAACAATTCTGACTAATTTCAATGCTCCACCGTAGTGGGGACACACTATTTCGATTTTGTTATTTCAGGAGTTATTATTTTGATTTTACTTATTTTGAAATAGTTTTCTAGTGAGACATGTCCTAAGTGACTAGTCCAAGGGCGAACACAGCTGAGTCTGTAGTATAGCAAGGATGTAAAGCTGTATCTTTTCATTTCTAGGCTCTCATCACAACCACTAGACCATTCTTTGTCTAATGACGAAAGTATGATTCTGACCTAACAACACTTTGTCATATTAAGAAACTTCTTAGAGAGATTTTAAAATGAGTTGTTTTATTCTGCTACAAATCAACTCAAAGTTCAGTTTTATAAATATAAGTATTACCCTGGATTTTAGGGGTAGGTGTACAGCATAATTTGATCAAGCCAAATGCAACAAAATTATGTGCATTCAACCACCATAAATTAATAGAATAGAACACCACATAGTTAATTTTGAGTTATTTTGGTTAATTTGAAGTTTAAAGGTTAATTTGGAGTCAGATTTTCAGAAACAAGTTTCAGAAGCAACTAAGTACAGTCTCTGCTTATCAGATAGGAGGAGGAGAAATAAAGTGAACATCTGAGACAGAAAAAGTTGGTGGAAGGAAGACCTTAAGACTTCAAGTTTATAAAGAATTACAAGTTTATTAAAACTTAGAAAAAGTGATGATTTAGTAGGGGTCACTAAGGCCTATGTGTTTTATAGAATAATAGAACCATAGAGCTGAAGAGACCTCAGGAGGTCATCAAGTCTAGCCCCCTGCTCTAAGCAAGACCAATCACAACTAAATCAACCCGGCCAGGGCTTTGTCAAGCCGAGACTTAAACACTTCTAGGGATGGAGACTCCACTACTTCCCACGGTAACCCATTCCAGTGCTTTACCACTCTTCTAGTGAAATAGTTTTTCCTAATAGCCAACCTGAACCTCTCCCACCGCAATTTGAGACCATTGCTCCTTGTTCTGCCATCTGTCACTACTGAGAACAGCTTCTCTCCATCCTCTTTGGAACCTCCCTTCAGGAAGTTGAAGGCTGCTATCAAATCCCCCCTCACTCTTCGCTTCTGCAGTCTAAACAGACCCAACTCCCTCAGCCTTTCCTCATAAGTCATATGCTCCAGCCCCTAATCATTTTGGTTGCCCTCCACTGGACCCTCTCCAATGCGTCCACATCCTTTTTGTAGTGGGGGGCCCAGAACTGGACACAATACTCCAGATGCAGCCTCACCAAAGCTGAATAAAGGGGAATAATGACATCTCTGGATCTGCTGGCAATGCTCCTCTTAATGTAACCTAATATGCCATTAGCCTTATTGGCTACAAGGGCACACTGTTGACTCATATCCAGCTTCTCATCCACTGTAACCTCCAGGTAATTTTCTGCAGAACTACTACTTAACCGGTTGGTCCCAAACTTGTAACAATGCTTGGGATTCTTCCGTCCCAAGTGCAGGACTCCGCACTTGTCCTTGTTGAACCTCATCAGATTTGTCGTGGCCCAATCCTCCAATTTGTCTAAGTCATTCTAGGCCCTATCTCTGCCCTCAAGCGTATCTACCTCTCTTTC